CTCTGACCCTGTGTCCTCTTGTTCTACTGTCTTGGTATATTTGAAAGAATGTTCTAGGTTTACTTTTTCAATCACATTTAAATTTTTTATAAGATTCTGTCTGAGTCATCTTTCAAAGCTTAAAGGCTCCAGCTTGTCCAATCATTCCTCAAATGGTCTGACATTAAATAAACCCTGTAGGCGATTTGCCAACCTAACTCTTGGGTTTGTGATCAAAGATCATTGCAATTTTTTTCTGCAACAACAAAAAAGGCACCATAACACACATAACAGTCAAGTTATTAGCACCGAATGCACTGTAAATGGGAACCGCTGGCACTTGCTTTGGATTCGGGATATAGGTGGTGAAAAAATAGTACAGAGAGATAAAGAGCACAGAGCAAAATAAACTTCTGACAACAGTCCAGGTCAAAACAAGGACAATAACTCTAAAAGCAACAGAAACGTCATTGCCGACTAGTGTAAATATCTCTATTTTTTGCTGTTAATAACAATCCTTGCATTTGATAAAGCATCTCATCGCTTTGTCAACAAGACTCACAGCGTTTCACAGGATTTCCTGGGAAATGTAGTGACTGTATTTGTAGGCGAACATGGCAGCCAATTTGGGTGCAGAAACATTCCACAAACAGCCGTGAAGCAATTGACAATTTTTTTTTGCGGGGGCTAGGAGTGGAGTGGGGGAATTGTTGGCTAGGACACCAGGAGAGAGAAACTCCCTTTGTAAAACATTTGCTAAAATAGTCCATTTATAAACCTGGGAGTTATTGTATCAACAGAAGTACTTATTGACAGAAGGAGGTGGGTCAGTCCAGAATTTCAAGTCACATAGGAATACAGGCTTGGAGAAGGTGAGGGCGTGGTGGTGAATGGCTGGCCTGGTATACAGGAGCAAACATAGCAGTGTCTGATCCACTGTCTGTATTCCATTTGAAGATGTGTGCTCACCATTTTGCAATGCAGGTCAGATAGCTCTGAGACTGAGGATGTCTGTGTTTGACATCAACATAACATCAGAAGGATTCACCGGGGCTTTGAGCTCACATTCTAGGCTGATTAGGCTGACATTCCAGTTCAGTGCTGGAGGGATGTTGTATTGTCAGAGGTGACATCCTTCGGATGAGATGTTAAACCGAGTTCCGGTCTACCTTAAGAAAATCCCGTGGCCCTAATGGAAAAGGAAAGGGGGTCTCTCTCCTGGCCAACAATCCTCCACATACATTTGGTCATTTGCTAAATGGCTGTGGAATGTAGCTGTGTGCAGATTAGCTGCTGCGTTCATCTATAAAATATTCAGTCACTACACTTTATAGTAAATGCTGTGAGATGCTTTGATAACATGATAAGACGCAATATATTATACTGTGAATAATCCTTGCATTTGATGCCATTGCGACGTCTCAAAATGCTTCACAGAATATACTGTAAAGTGAATTGACTGTATATTTTATGGGCGAAACACAGCAGCCAATTGTGCACAGCAGTGTCCCACAAACAGTCGTGGATTGTAGTGGCCAATTTAATATTTTTTTTGAAGGAATTATTACTCCCGGAAAGGCGATCCGCCAATTGACGATCAACCGGGTTCCTACTTACTGCGAGGTAAACAGATGTATGTGGAGTAAGGAAACTTGCCCAACATTTTGCCCTGCCGAAAATCGAACCCAGGTATATTGTGTGGGCGAAATGTGGCAGCTAATTACACAGAGCAGTGTCCCACAAACAGTCATGGAGTGAGTGATCATTTTATTTGGTGGATTGTTGGCCAGGACACCTCTCTTTTTGAATAGTGCCATGGGATCTTTAATGTCCACCTGAACAGGCAGACGGGACTCAGTTTCAAGTCTCATACTGCACTGCATTGGAGTGTCAGGTTAGACTGTGTGATTCCAAGTTCTGACATGGGGCTTGTACCCACAACCTTGTGAGTCAGAGGCAAGAGTCCGAACACTGATCCAGGCTGACACACATTTACATTTGAAATACCTTTTGTGTCAGGAGGATGAATGAACCATAACAGTACGATGTTGGGTGTAAGTGGACTCCTCTGCCTCTCCCCTGGTTGAACCTTTTTCCTGTGTTGATTAACTGCTTTATATGTGGCCCAAACAAATGTTTAGCATGTCTGGAATGCAGCACGTGGCTTCCATCCCTCTGATGAGGGATGTGGTCGAAACCACAGCTATGTTGATGCAATAAGTGGGAAAGTCCACAAGTTGAAGTGTGGACATGTTGTAAAACAGACTAAACTGAGCTGGGAGATACCACAGGCAGTGAGAGAGGAACAAGAAAGGGAAATCTATCCCTTAAAGACTCACTCTTTAATCCAAAGTGTACAAATTATTCTCTGTCAGACTCTCTCCAACTCGTTTGTAAATTTGTATTGTATTGTTTGATCTGGAGAAGATCTGTACCAACTGGGAATAGTATAGTCTCCCCTTGACAATTCATCAGTTAAACCAATGACAAATTTAGCACATTAATCTAACAGAAGTATCCATGCATGACATTCCCCACGAGCCTACAGATTGGGTTGAAGGTCCCCCTTATCTTGTCCTCTTAGTGATGGGTTTTCTTCAATTGTAAGACTACATGTCTGTACAAGCTAAGGCTAGGTGGAATTTCGCGACTGTGTTCTCCTGTATTTCCTATTTCCTATTCCACAAATAACCTCTCAATGTTAAAATTATCCACAACTGTTTATGAGACATTGCTGTGCGCAATTGGCTGCCGCGTTTTGCCCACAAAATACACAGTGAATCCACTTTGCAATATATTCTGTGAAGCGCTTTGAGTCGTCTCAATGATGTGATAAGGCACTGTCTTAAATACAAGGATTATTATTATTATCAAAATAACTCACAGCAAAGTTCAGTCAAGTAGAGAGTGACTGAGTATTCTGGGCAATCACAGAAACCATTTTTGTGTATAACAAATATTTGGGGGGTTGGAGGACATTTATTGATGTTACTGAAATTTTTCCTCCTCTCCTCTTGACTAGTTTAAATCAAATGAAAGGCTATTTCCCCACTCTTTTCTTCACACCTTTTGAACTTTTGAAAGATACAAATCAGAATAAGACCACAAGATCCGAAAAACAACCCTGTTCTTCTGTGTCACTTTTAGCTCATGATCTAAGCTGACACTCCAGCACAGTGCAGGTGCCATGCTTTGGTTAGGATGTTAAATCAAAGTGGACGTAAAGGGAAGGGAGTTTCTCCTGGTGTCCTGGCCAACAATTCCTTAACTAATTGATCATTCACCTCTTCACTGTTTGTGGGACGTTGGTGCTCGCAAATCAGCCACCTTGTTTGCCAACACAATACGTAGTCACTACACTTTACAGTAAAAACCTGTGAAATGCTTTGAGATGTTTTGACACAATAAGGAGCCGTGTCAAGTACAAGGATTATTATTGTTATAATATGTAGAGGTAATTTTATGCCACAGAAGAGCTTTGATTCCTCCAGCAAAGGAAAGCCACCATATGGTCGGAGGCAACATTAAAGACGCTTTGATGAACTGCTCAAACTTTTGTTTTAATTTAATTCTTTGCTGAAGTTATGAAAATATTCTAGAAAAATCTCAGTTACATTTTACAGCTGTGAATGACTGTTTTAATCCTGGCTCCTTAACCGGACAGGGACTACTAATGGTGGTGTACTGGACAGATGTAGCGTAGCTCAGGACAGCATGAGCTCCCTGAGGTCTATCGTAGCTGATTCTGGATTTATATACAAAGATGCCTGAGAGTCTGACTCAGCCTTGTGTGGCTGTGCTCACCAAGAACTAATACAGAGTCCCGTAGTGCAATGGTTTTAATCCTTGCATTTGATATAATCCTTGCATTTGATGTAGTGCTTTTCACGTCGGGAGGACGTCCCAAAGCGCTTCACAGAACACATTGTAAAGTGAATTAACTGTATATTTGTGGGCGAACGCGGCAGCGCACAGCAATGTCCCACAAACAGTTGTAGATTGAAAATGATCAATTTATTATTGTTTTTGGTTTTGGAGCGATTATTATTAGGTGTGTAGAGTAAGGAAACTTGCCCAAGGTTTCGCCCTCTGCCTGGAATTGAACTCAGAGCACTCGCTTTGCAAGCAAGAGACCTAACCACTGAGCTACAGGACTCCACAACTGAAGTAATTGAGGTTAGCAAGCTTGCCTCGCAAGCTTCAAATCCTGGGCTGGACGAAACCTTAGGGAACTTTCCTTACTCCACACGCCTAATAATAATCCCTCCAAAACAAAACAATAATAAGTTGGTCATTTTCAATCCATGATTGTTTGTGGGACATTGCTGTGTGCAATTGGCTGCTGCGTTCGCCCACAAATATACAGTCAATTCACTTTACAGTATATTCTGTGAAGCGCTTTGAGATGTCGAGAAGACGTGAAAAGTGCTATATCAAATGCAAGGATTATTATTATTATTATTACTCCACATGCTTCTGTTTAACCAGCAGTAAGTAGGAACCCAGTTGTTAGTCGATTTCTGGGGGTAGTAATCCCTCAAAAAAAAATTGGGTCACTTGGGATAAAGCTTGGTGTGACCCCCAATCTTTCAACCTCTGCCTTTCCTTCACTTTCCTGTCGTTCTGACATCCTAGCTCACTGTTAGTTTACAAAGGTATAAAAAGTACAAGAATCTCCATGCCTCTCTCCACACACACATAGACACACATACACACAGACACACAGACACACTCTTGAGTTCTGTGTGGAAGCTTCCAATCCCATCATATTTCCATTACTGAATCCTCTCCTTTTTTTACAATCCTCTCCTTTTTTTTGTTTCTCTTCAAAAAGTAACTAAAGCCATTCAGTTGATGGTTTTTCCTGTCTCTATAAAACTCCATTACCAGTTGGCAGCCTCCTGAATGTTAGGACTATCAAAACATTAGGAGTGTGGGATGCTTTTATCGCTCCCTGTAACTTGTGTGTCATTACTGCATTGTGTTGGTGTAACAGGCTTTATATGGTGGTTTCTCTGCAGCTGGAAAGCTATATCCAGGACAGTGTGAAGACCGAGATGGTTCAGATCCAACGCAACGCGGTGCAGAACCAGACAGCAGCCATGCTTGAGATCGGCACCAGTCTGCTGACCCAAACCGCGGAGCAAACACGCAAACTTACCGATGTAGAAACCCAGGTAACTCTATTCCTCCGATCACGTGAACCTAGAGGAGAAACCTTCGTGACTATTATTTGTTGTTCTATACTCTGAAATTTCCGGGCGGGATGAAACCTTATAATAATAATCCTTGCATTTGATACAGCGCCTCATCACGTCTTCGAGGTCTCAAAGCGCTTCACAGGATATACTGTAAAGTGAATTGAATGTATATTTTGTGGGCAAAACGCGGCAGCCAATTGCGCACAGCAGCGTCCCACAAACAGTCATGGATTGAATGATCGACATTATTAGGGAGTAAGGAAACTTGCCCTGTCTGGGAATCGAACTTAGGTCCACTTGCTTGCGAGGCGAATGCTCTAATCACTAAACCACAGGACCCTTCAAGTTTCCTTACTCCGCATGATTCTGTTTACCTTGCAGTTAAGTAGGAACCCGGTTGTTAGTCGATTGGTGGATCGCTTTTCCGGGGGTAATAATCCCTTCAAAAAAAAATGGTTGCACAATCCACTTTACAGTATGTTCTGCGAAGCTCTTTGAGATGTCTCAACAATGTGATAAAGCTCTATATCAAATGAGAGGATTATTGTTATAAATTCCGGTTTCGTTTTTACTCTGGATCAGAAGATTCACAAGATCAAGAAGATCCTTTGGCCTATCTTATCTCATCCCTCCACAATGCTCGCCATCCATTCCCCTCCCTCAAACTTCCTGCTATATGTCCTGGATTTGCCTCCCTCAACCCCTTCGCCTCGCCGTTGTGTCCCAAGTTGGATTGAGCTCATGGTCCAGGCTGCCATTTGCATCGTTGAGGGACAGATGCGTTGTTAGAGATGCAGTCCATTAAATGAGAATAGTTCAATTAAATCATAATTTTTTTCAAAAGAACAGGGCGTTCTCCCTGTCTCCCAGCCAATCTGTCTCCAGATACATAATCATAAAAAAAGCATCTCTTTGCTTTTGGCAAAACATTGTTGTTGGACATGAGCTGGCACTCTCACTGCAACACAGCAGCGCTGCATGTAAATTAACTCAAACTGCTTCTCCAAGCACTTTGAGAAGTTTTGACAAGATGATGAGGCGTGATATTAAATTAAAGTACAATGCCTTGCTCTCGTTAAGTGACTTTCAGGAAGAGAAAATCGGGCCAAAATTGTGGCGTTAAAAAATGCATTCTATTTCTTAATTGAGAGATAGAAAGTATCTGGCAACATGAAGTTTGATGGGCTGAAGGGACTTCTTCATCGGAACCTCATGATATTTTGAGAAATATCACAGTTTGGATCTCTGACTGTTCAGTAAGTGTTGCCAACGAATTCAGTCACTACACGTTAGAGAAAAATAAATCCTTTGCCAAAGACACTTCTGGTCACAGTGGCCTGATGAGCCGGACGATGGCCTCGTTTCAGCAGGTTGCATTATTAGCTTGTGTACTATCCCGCACCAGGCTTCGGGACCACATCACTCCCACCCTCGCTCGCCTCCACTGGCTCCCCATCCCCCAGAGGATCGAATTCAAGATCCTCATCCTCACCTACAAGGCTTTCACGGCCTTGCTCCCTCCTACCTCTCCGACCTACTATCCCCCTACCTACCTGCCCGTACCCTCCGTTCCTCTGGCTCTGGTCTGCTCCACACCCCCCGCCCCAACCGCCCTACCATCGGTGGTCGGGCCTTCAGCCTCTCAGCCCCGAGGCTCTGGAACTCTATCCCCCAGTGCCTTCGCCGCTTCCTCCCTTTCCTCCTTCAAGGCCGGTCTCAAGACCTTTCTCTTTGACCGTGCCTTCAGCTCCCCTCTCGACTCTCTACCCCCTCCTCGCTCCCTCCCTCCCCTCCCCTCGCCCTGACCATTTCCCCCCTCCTCACCCCCTCCCTTCCCTTCCCTCACCCTGACCATTTCCCCCCTGCTCGGGTCCTGACCCAACTGTCCAGTGTCTTGGGACGTCCTCCCGACGTGAAAGGCACTCTATAAATGCAATCTTGTTGTTGTTATTGCAAATGCTTCAGATGAGACATTAAACTGAGATGCCATCTGCCTGAAAGTATCTCGCAGTGTGCCAGCCAACAGGTACAATTACTTGATCACTTTATGCCTGTTTGTGTAGGCAATTCAGGCGCTGTTTTTTCTAACAAATACACGGTCAATAAAGATGACAGTGATATCCGACAGACCCCATAGCAAATGCAAGGATTGTTGTGGTACCCGATTGTTGCGTGTACCCGATTGTTGCGTGTACCCGATTGTTGCGTGTACCCGATTGTTGCGTGTACCCGATTGTTGCGTGTACCCGATTGTTGCGTGTACCCGATTGTCGCGTGTACCCGATTGTCGCGTGTACCCGATTGTCGCGTGTACCCGATTGTCGCGTGTACCCGATTGTCGCGTGTACCCGATTGTCGCGTGTACCCGATTGTCGCGTGTACCCGATTGTCGCGTGTACCCGATTGTCGCGTGTACCCGATTGTCGCGTGTACCCGATTGTCGCGTGTACCCGATTGTCGCGTGTACCCGATTGTCGCGTGTACCCGATTGTCGCGTGTACCCGATTGTCGCGTGTACCCGATTGTCGCGTGTACCCGATTGTCGCGTGTACCCGATTGTCGCGTGTACCCGATTGTCGCGTGTACCCGATTGTCGCGTGTACCCGATTGTCGCGTGTACCCGATTGTCGCGTGTACCCGATTGTCGCGTGTACCCGATTGTCGCGTGTACCCGATTGTTGCGTGTACCCGATTGTTGCGTGTACCCGATTGTTGCGTGTACCCGATTGTTGCGTGTACCCGATTGTTGCGTGTACCCGATTGTTGCGTGTACCCGATTGTTGCGTGTACCCGATTGTTGCGTGTACCCGATTGTTGCGTGTACCCGATTGTTGCGTGTACCCGATTGTTGCGTGTACCCGATTGTTGCGGTATCTGATTGTTGCGTGTACCTGATTGTTGCGTGTACCCGATTGTTGCGTGTACCCGATTGTTGTGTGTACCCGATTGTTGCGGTATCTGATTGTTGCGGTACCTGATTGTTGCGGTATCTGATTGTTGCGGTATCTGATTGTTGTGGTATCTGATTGTTGTGGTATCTGATTGTTGTGGTATCTGATTGTTGCGGTATCTGATTGTTGCGGTATCTGATTGTTGCGGTATCTGATTGTTGTGGTATCTGATTGTTGTGGTATCTGATTGTTGTGGTATCTGATTGTTGTGGTATCTGATTGTTGTGGTATCTGATTGTTGTGGTATCTGATTGTTGTGGTATCTGATTAAATCAGGTTGTGAAGCCTCCAAGTTTGTTGAGTTCTAGCAAATGCCAGACCTGTTATATCCTGGTGATGTTTTGTCCTGTTTTCAGGTACTCAATCAGACATCAAGACTCGAAATACAGTTGTTGGAGAACTCGCTTTCAACCAATAAACTGGAGAAAGAAATTCTGGTGCAGACACAGGAGATCAGCAAACTCCATGAAAAGAACAGGTGAGAGTCAGAAGCCTCACTACAACTTCACTGCATGGACTCACTGAGGTTCACATGGACAGACACTGTATTCAAGCACCCTGAGACGCTATCCTGCATGAAGAGAGCTATGAAAATCAAGTTGCTGTGGTTGTCTAACTGATCTGTGCAGAAGGAAAGGGGAACATGTTAGTATAGGAAGATTGCTAATAGTGTACAGTGCTTTAGTCTTGGAGTAATGTGTACTGAGCAGGTCATATACAATCAATGCACTTCACAGTATATTCTGTGAAGTGCTTTGAGATGTCACAACAACATGATAAGGCGCTATATCAAAAGCAAGGATTATTATTATTTTCATTATTATAACAGGGTTGCCGAGGCACAGGGCTGGAGGAAGGAGCTATTAACAATGATTACACTGAGGCTAATTAGCAACATCTATAATTGGGAGCAACAATGAGACTTCCTCCTGATACGAAAGGCACGGTATCAATTACACCGGAATTTGATAATTTTATTATAATAACAAGAGCCCATTATCCCTGTCACCACATTGCTGTGCCTTGCTTGTAATGTCCATCCCTGAGCACCCTTTGGCCAGTGAAGATCGATCTACATCAGTGAGTGAAGAACACAGAAACAGGAAGAGATCATTCAACCCACTGAGCTCTTCATAGATTATGGCAGATCTTTTAATCCTATTCCCCTCCCCTTTTATTTACACCCTCACTTTCCAACCCTCCTCCCTCTCTCTTTCTCTGTTTTAATGATCGCAGTATTCTGCTGCTACGGCTTTCTGGGGCACTGCATTCCACAGTTTCATAAACTTTTGCATGAAGAAATGTTAAACACTGTTTGTCACTGAGCTCCTTTGTGCCTCCTGCTATAATTTTATTTAAGTTAATTATTGAATAATCATTTTATCAGCCATGTGAATCGGCCATGCATTAGATATTAAAGAGAATCTCAACAACATCACAGTCTCTCTTCCTTCCCCTGCCATCTCCTGCTCTCTTTTCTGTCCTCTCCCATTTCTCTTTCCTCCCCCCCCCCTCTCTCTTTCCCTTTCTCCCCCTTTTCTCCCTCTTCCTTCCGCTCTCTACCCTTTCTCTCTTCCCTCCTCTCCCTCATCTCTCTCCCTCTCACCTCTTTCTCCCATCTCTCTGTCCCCTCCCTTTCTCTCCCTCTCCTCTTTTTTACTCTCTTCATTCCCCTTTCTTTTCTCTCTGCCCTCTATCATTTCCCTTCTTGCTAATATATCCTCATGAGCACACTTACCACACAGCAGGAAAACAAAACAAGACTAATAAATTCAGATCTGAATAGCCATGGCTGAATGAAGCCAAGCCAAGAGTGTGAGATTGGAGAGAGTTGCCAGCTCTGGTTTATCACCACCTTGGCAATGCAATCATTTCATTTCCTGCTGTGCGTTTTGTTTGCTGTGAAACCTTTGTATATGGAATCAAGGTCCAAAGTGAAAGAGACACGATTAATAATAATCCATTTGATACCGGGCTTTCCATATTGGAAGGACGTCTCAAAGCCTTTCACAGGATATACTGTAAAGTATGTGTATTTTGTAGGTGAACTAAATAGTAATCAACAGCAACAATAACAACTTGCATTTATATAATAGTTAGGACAAAGCAAACATGATTGTAAGGCACAGGATTGAGGGGACGTGAAACCAAAGTAATGGTTAGAAAATGCCACTGTTGGGTTTTATTCACCGGTCAATTGTCGAAGGAGGATAAAACTGAAAGATCTCAGGACTTCCACAGCTTTGAGATCCAATGATGAGAAGAATGAATGAAGTGTCCTAATTATTGTGCAGTTTGACCACAAAGACACGTCAGTGTTTGAATGGTTCAATTTTTCCTTTCTATGCCCTTCAGTTTTTTAGAGAAGAAGGTTCTGGAAATGGAAGGCAAGCATGACGTGGAGCTTCAGTCAATCAAGGCTGAGAAAGTGGAGATGCAGCAGCTACTGGTGAAGCAGAGTGCGGTGATGGGAGAGCTGGAGAGACAGCTGAGCACGGCAACCCACAACAACAGCCTCTTACAGCAGCAGCAGATGATGCTCATGGACACTGTCCACAACCTGCTGAAAATGGTCTCCCACGGCAATGGTAAGAAATGTTGGGCAAGTTTCTTTGCTCCACACGCCTCTGTTCACCTAGCAGTAAGAAGGAACCCGGTTGTTAGTCGATTGGTGGATTGCTTTTCCGGGGGTATTAATCCCTTCAAAAAAAATCTGGTCACTTCAATCCACGACTGTTTGTGGGACACTGCTGTGCGCAATTGGCTGCCGCGTTTCGGCCACAAAATATACAGTCAATTCACTTCACAGTATATTCTGTGAAGTGCTTTGAGACGTCTCAAACAACAACAACAAGATTACATTTATATAGCGCCTTTCATGTCAGGAGGACATACAGCATTTCAGACCCGAACTGGGGTCAGGGAGGGAGAAGGGAGGGGAGGGGAAGGGAGGTGACCGATGGCATGGTCGAAGAGGAGAGTCTTGAGGCGGGACTTGAAGGAGTCTAAGGAGGGGGTGAGGTGGAGTGATTGGGGGATGGAGTTCCAGAGGTTGGGGGCAGAGTGACTGAAGGCTCTCCCGCCAATGGTGGGGCGGGTGGGTCCAGGGACGTGGAGCCGACAGAACCGGCTGAGCGGAAGGAACTGGATCCTCTGAAGGACAGGGAGCCAATGAAGTGACTTGCCACTATATTAAATGCAAGAATTATTATTATTACTATAGCGACAGCATCAGCACAGCTATATTTAGGGATGTTGAGTGCCTCCAGTTGGTAGCACTCTTTCCTTTGGGACAGACAGTTGTGGGTTTGAGCTTCACGTGCAGTGCTGGGGGAATGCTGCATTGTCTGAGGCGCTGTTATTCAGATGGGACATTAAACCGAGGTCCCATCCGATTTCTTAAGTGGCCGTTAAGTATTCTGTGGCACAATTTGAGAAGAGGAGGGAGTTTCTTCCAGTATCTTGACCAACAATCAATCCCCCAGATAAAGTTGGTCATTCACTTCATGGCTGTTTGTGGAATGTTGCTGAGCACAAATTGACTGCTGAGTTCACCTACAAAATACGCAGTCACTACACTTGATGGTGAATCTGGTGAAGAGTCGTGAGGCATCCTCCTGATGTGGAAAGGCCCCTTGAATATTAATATTTCATTAAATAAATAAAATAATAATTTGGTAATTTGTGGGACATTGCTGTGCGCAACTGCCTGCCAAGTTTCGCCCACAAAATACACAGTTAATTCACTTTACAGTGTATTCTGTGAAGTGCTTTGTGACGTCCCAACGCCGTGATAAGGCGCTATATCAAATGCAACAATTATTATTATTATCAATGGTCCAAACTGGCAGTGAAATAGTTTATCATCTGCTGTATAGCACTCCAGCATCACACAGAATGATTGAACCTGCCCACTCAAAGCAAAAATATCCATCGCATTTAGCTTTTGTTAACTGCTTTAGCATTTTGTGTCACTCTGTGACAAACAATTTTGATAAAAATAATAACTTGTAATTATCAGGACTTTTCCTGTAGGAATAAATGTCTGAAAGATAGACAAAAATAGAATTGAACAGAATTGTGGTGAATGTTGTTACGGATATGAATGCAGGAGCCTATCTGCCTCAGCGACATCCAATAAACAGCAAACAGCAAAAATATACAAAGCGCGTAGGCCCCCCACACCCCTCCTCCCTCCCGAATCTGAATACATTTATCCCATTGAAGTAGATCCTGTTTTGGAAATGTCTATTCTGTTGCTGCTCCTCAACTGTTTAACTTTACTGTATGTGGGTCCGTCTTGTCTGCTTGTCTGTCTGTGTGTGTGTGTGTGTGTATCAATTTATAAAAAATATTTGGTTGCTCAATCTAGGATTGTTTGTGGGACGTTGCTGTGCGCAATTGGCTGCCACGTTGCGCCCAAAACATATACAGTCAATTCACTTTACAGTATAGTCTGTGAAGCTCTTTGAGACGTTGCGAAGATGTGATGAGGCACTGTATCAAATGCAAGGATTATTAATATTATTATTATGAGATGTGCAGCCGATTAATTTGAAATTGGTGTAAATTTGTGATGAGGAAGGGAATATAAACTGGGAGAAAAACTTCACATTTCACAAGATCAATGTGTCAGCCTCTCGTTGTTGGTAGCACTCTCGCCACTGAGTCAGATGGTTGTGGGTTCAAGCTCCACGTAAGGACTTTGAACGCTTGTCGTCTCAGCTGACACTCCAGTGCAGTGCAGGGGGCGTCCTGCATTGTTGGAGGTGCCGTTTCTTGGATGAGACATTAAGCTGAGGAGGCCCTGTCTTGTCTGTCTGTTCAGGTGGATGTTTAGGATCTCTTGACACTATTTGAAAAGGGAACAGAGTTTCTCCTGGTGTCCTGGCCAACAATATCCTGTAAAATGATTTTGGACGTCCTCCCAAAGTGAAACTTGTTACACCAAATGTATGGTTTGGTATTATGATTAAATCACAGATGGGTTCTAATGACAAAACTTTAGTCAAATTGATCACGACCTTCCAGAATATGCGCTGATCACAGCATCAATCTGTTTTGTTTTGTTAAATGAATACAGTTTTCTTGTGTCAGCCAACAATTCCCCACATAACATACTCAGTTCACATCATAGCTGTTGATGGGGCCTTACTGTGGCCAAATTGGCTGTCATGTTCCCTAAAACATTCCCACTCCCTATAAATACTCTGAAGTGCTTTGAGATGAGCTCCTGATGTGAAAGTCACTGTATAATGTAAAATTGTTGAATGAAATGAGAGGATTTATAATAATAAACTTCACCTTTGATATAATGCCTATAACATGGTAATATTTCAATGCACTTCACACAGTATTACAGTAAAGTGTAGGTGAACACAGCGATATCCCATAAACAGCCGTAAAGTTTTATTTGGGGGATTTGTTGGCCAGGAAACCAGGAGAAACTCCCTTCTCTTTAGCGTCCACCTGAACAGGCAGACCAAATCTCGGTTTAAAGTCTCGTCCAAAGGATGGCACCTCTGACATCTAGTGTAACTCAGCACACTATAAATAATGCAGCTATCTTAATTGTGGGCTTGTCATAGCTGACAGCAAACGTTGCTCTGAAAGATGAGCTTGACATCAGTGGGCAAGTTGTGTTGATGTCTTATTGGCTTGGGTGAAATGTGCTTTCTACAGTTCAAGATCCTGGTCCTCACCTCCAAAGCCCTCCATTGTCTTGCTCCCCCCTACCTCTGTAACCCCCTTCTATTCTGCTCGCTCCCTCCGCTCAGCGGGCTCCGGCCTGCTTCACCTCCCCACTTTTGGCGGACGGGCCTTCTGCCACTCTGCCCCCACCCTCTGGAACTCCATCCCGTAGTTCCTCCGCCTTGCCCCCTCCCTTGCCGCCTTCAAGCCCCATCTCAACACCGTTCTCTTCGACTGTGCTTTCGATCTCCCTGCTTCCCCCCCCTGCCCTCCACCCTCTTCGACGCTGACCCCCAGCTCAGGTCTGAAACTCTGTATATCCAGCGCCTTGGGATGTCCTCCCAACACGAAAGGCACTTTACAAATGTAATTTTGTTGTTGTTGTTGTTTCTTCACTACAGTATTATATATATGTCATGCAACTGCCAGGATGGTGGAAGGCGAACTAAATGGACCTTGGTCTTGTTTCTCCAACAAATTCTTATGTTCTTATGTTCTTAGACTATACAGAAGATACAAAGGAAAATCGAGTGTTTAAGGACTGCGCTGAGGTATACCAAGCTGGTCTGACCACAAGTGGAGTTTACACACTACATATGCCCAATACCACTGACACTGTTAAGGTAAGATAGTGGAAATAACAAATGCTTTTTTGTGTGCAATTTTTCTGCTCCTTTCACACCTTCACGTTTCAGGTGCAGAGGCAGGTGAGGGGTTTGTTAGTCACTCTGAATGGATGTTGCTCACTCATTGTGCCTGACAATATAGCTAGTGACTGGCCAAAAAGGAGAGGTATTTGTGTAACATATTTCTCAATGCTGGAAGTCAGCGAGATGTACGTGTTGAATCCAAAGTTCACATTTCAGATCTATGTTGAACTCCTGCTGACAAGACTCTGACTTATATCATTGCTTGGCTTATATCATCATGTTATCAATATCCCGGTCGCTTCAATTAAATTAAAATATGAATAAGAGACCACCCCCCTCTTTATTTCATCACTGGCTTTTAGCATATAAAGTCACATTCTATACATCCCAGTAAGTAAAATATCAGATATAAATTAAATTTAAGTCCAGGAGTTTACTGTATTTCACATTAAATACAACAACAACTTGGATTTACATAGCGCCTTCCACGCTTTACGGCATCTCAGAGCGGTTAATCTGTCATTCTATCTGTCTACTTCCCTCTTGAATCGCACAATTCACTCAGCGTTCCACATCCTCACAACTCTCTGTGTGAAAAACAATCTCCTAAACTCTCTTTTCACTCATCTTCCTGCTATCGTATGCCTCTGGTCTCCAGTCACTGACTCCCATTCTAATGGAAATAGCTTCTCTCTATTAACTCTTTCAAAAATCCGTCTTGGATTTGTACAACAACAACAAATTACAATTTTATAGTGCCTTTCACGTAAGGAGGACGTCCCAAGGCGCTGGACAGTCGGGGATCTGCACCTGAACTTCTATTATACACTAATAAAGGTTTGAAAAAGCATCCATTGGGAATTGGCAAAAAGGGAAATGGAGATTGAGCAGGAGAGTGGGGTTAGAGTAGGTGTGACTCGTGTTCAGAAAAACACCAGCGCTTAGTTGAATGGCGTCTTTTGGAGCTGTAACATTGTCTGATTGCTAAAATTGTTCTATGTTAATGAGACATTCACTGGAAGGGCAATGTAAAATCCAGTGTGATTGGTATAACATGTAATCCATTTAATTTAGTGCTATTTGAAGTAATAAAGTAACACCCGAGCACACATCAATCAGTCTGACCTTTCCCAAGTCCTGGATTGGAAGCGGAGTGGGAGCAAGCTTTCAGAGGTATCTGATTCTCATGATTTATATTGTGGCAGACCATGCATTGCTCAGTTGTTTCCTGTTTCACATTGCAAGCTGTTCTGTGCTCTCCGGTGCTCAGCACAGTGTCTTTTCCCCTGTAGCAGGTTTGCGCAGAGAAATTGAGGCTTCCAGTGAATTATTATACAATACAATACAAAGTTACATTTCTAAAGCGCCTTTCGGAGGTCATGCCAAGGAACGGGATTAGGACCCGAGCTGGGGAGATTGGGATCAGGGATGGTGGAGGGCAGAGAGAGTAGGAGGGTGGCCGAAGGCATGGTCGAAGAGGAGGCTTGCCTTGAAGGAGGCAACGGAGGGAGCAAGGCGATGGGAATGGGATGGAGTTCCAAAGGGTGGGGGCAGAGAGAGGTTAAAGGCTCGACCACCGATGGTGGCCCACTGAAAAGAACCATGTTAGTGGATTCATAAGGCAGATATAGAATCCAGTCAGTTCAGCTGGTTTTCATGATGAAGAACTGCTTTTTATCCGCAGTTGATGGGATACGTTTCCACGGAGTGGAAGAGGATGGTGCAAGGGTTGAAACGATAAAATGTTTCATTTGGCTGTTTATTAGCCTTCTGTGTTTCAGCCCATGATAAAGTGAGCGGTGCCATCCTGTGTGTCAAGAACAACAACTTGCATTTATATAGCAACATTTAGGTAACATAACATCTCAGAGCACTTTACAGTGATGGGGGTTAGACTCTGAACAGGGAAGAGGGGGCAAGGGGGAGATGACCATTTGCACAGTCGAAGAGGTAGGTTTTAAGGTGAGATTTGAAGACAGATAGAAAAGGGCTGAGATGGAGAGGTGAGAGGAAGGCTGGTAGAGAGGTTAGTGGCATTGAATCTGACAAGAACAGTGTTAGGACAATAGGACAGTAATCATTGCTCTTTGGATACTGTAACCCGGTCTGGGTAAAATATGCTAATAAACAGATGGGTTTTATTCTGAAGGTCCAAATGCTTTGCAGATGAGCTGTTTCCATGATTCATTTCTGCAGCTCAAATAATGGCAGAAAAATTATACCCTTTGTATCGTTAAGTGGGCTTTGCATTCACTGTAGGCAGAGTGAGAGTCACCGCAGTACAGATGGTCTGTGAGTGCTTGAAATAACAAGCATTTATTCGGGATGCTAATTAAGTAATTATAGTTAATAAAGGTAAAGTTCCCATGTGTTAGGGGGGGAAAGGCATGCAAATTTGAAACAAAGGGACAACCATTTGACTTAATAAGGACCAATTGCCAGTCATCAACATCTGTCTCCTGTTGTCTCCCAACAGGAATGAGCATTTACATGTACCCTTTGCTTCTTGTCTGTAATATATGTAGAAACAATTTATAACCCGTCCATTCATATCTGTCATCTCGGGCTCTTTCACTGACAAATAATGGGTTCCCAAGCACCAACGGTGCATTTTATGACTCCTTCGTGCTTCTCCACTCGTGTAACAGTGTGAATATTGGAGAATTGGCTGCATCTAACACATTCCTTTATGCTTTTTCAATCTATAAGAACTTTACACTGAAACCCAAATCTTCAATAAAACTGGCTGGATGAGGGTTGTAAAACTTAGTGAGATGGATTTCCAGACTTTTAGTGGATTGTAGAGGATTCCTGCTGCGCACGCTCACCTTCCATTCCACATTTGATTCAGAAATCTGTTTGTGATTTATTATCACACCATGCGCTTACTAGTGGGATATCCAGCACTTCTCTGGTATGAAGTACGCTCAGATCTGCCTGAAGAAACCTGAATATATTTCAATCACTTTTACAGCCAAGCGGGCAGGCAACAGATCACACATTTATAAGTCCAGCTAAGTACTTGCAGCAAGTATCAGCCCAAGAGAGACAGAGCTCTCTGCAGTTTAACAGGACAACTGTTCCATTTGGAGTACTTAATGCTTTGTTTCCTCGAAAGTTCTCTTTTGCCAGAGTAATTGTTGCAGGTTGGTGTGCGAACCTCAATATGGCATTTTTTCACAAATACAATTATCACAAGATCGGTTGGTCAGCCCATCTGATCTTTTCCCTCCAGAAACACCACCATCACAGCAGCTAGGTGTGTGTGTTTAATTGAGTCCCAGTGCCTTGGCATCAACCACCTTTCCTGGTCACCTGCTCATATTGTTAATTTCCTTCTTGGTAAAGAAATACTTGGGCAAGTTTGCTTACTCCACACGCCTAATAATAATCCCTCCAAAAAAAAACAATAATAAATTGATAATTTTCAATCCATGACTGTTTGTCGGACATTGCTGTGCGCAATTGGCTGCCGCGTTCGCCCACAAATATGCAGTCAATTCACTTTACAGTGTGTTCTGTGAAGCGCTTTGGGACGTCCTCCTGACGTGAAAGTGCTATATCAAATGCAAGGATTATTATTATTATTATTATTATTTCTGTCCTGAAATTTCCCCTTTGCAACTCTATAAACCAGTGTCCTCATGAACTACTGTATTGATGCAATCAATCAGTATTGATCTGGGTTTACCTTTCAATCCCTTTTAAAATGTTCACAGCTCTATAAGGTCCTTCTGAGATGTCTTCTCTCAGTAGTTTCTTTTGTTAGGAGTATTATAAATTTGATCCTTTCTTTAATCTGTTCATGCCAGGAAGAGGGTTTGGGGGATGCTGGGACCCATAGTTTGATACCGTGGTGGGAGGATACTGTTATTGAGCTGAAGGGTGTTCATCACCTGAACCAATAAAAAAATGATAAAAAAAGAAGTTTGGATGACCCATCGATTAGGGAATGAGTTTGAGGCAGTGACTGAACATATTGTTAATAATCCTTGTATTTGATATAGCGCTTTATCATGGCTGTCTCAAAGCATTTCACAGAATACACTGTAAATTGAATTGACTGTGTATTTTATGGGCGAAACACGGCAGCCAATTGCGCACAGCAGCGTCCGACAAACAGTCGAAGATTGAGTGACCGAATTATGTACAATAATAAGTCAACCATTTTCTTGTTATTTTTCACTGTTTCAGTGAAAAGAAGTTTGGAATAGACAACAGCAAGTCCTCTCAGCAGGAAAAAAGCATCTTATTGTAGACCTTTGACTAACGGTCTAATGGGAATCGGTTGAAAGTAATGTAATGTCCGAAATGAAACGTGATGAAGCTAAAAACATTCTGAAACTCGCTCACACTGTGACCATTTCGTCTCCTTCTGGGCAGGTTCTCTGTGATATGGACACGAGTGGAGGGGGTTGGACTGTGTTCCAACATCGCCAGGACGGGAAGGTGGAATTTCACCGGGATTGGAAGGAGTACCGGCTGGTGAGCAAACACATGCTGTTTGTTTGAACCGACGGATCTGATGGTTAAAAACGATCAGTGATATTAGGGGAATAATTCTTCACAAACGCATTCTCTGCAGTCGTGTTATTTTGTCAGGAACCAATTGCTGGATGTTAGTGCCTCTGAACTTGGGAACGTGCAAGCGCAGAAAAGTTCACGACAGGTTATCTAGCAAATCCCGTTTTCAAATTTCATCATTCCCCATCTTGCACTTACTCCCCATGTCTCACACTCTGTGTGAGATACCCACAGTGTTGCTCTCCTAGCGCCTGCCAACAATCAGATTTTAATGGGAATTGGACAAAGAGTTGTGGCAAAATAAGAAGAAGGAGTTGGTGGAAAAAGCAGGAGAATAGGATTCGAGTTGATTTCACAGATGCTGAGCTAACACCAGCATGATTATAAAGGGCTCCTTTTCTGATGGAAATTTCTGATGATCACTGGATTAAAAAGAAACTTAGCAACAGGATACAGTGGTGGTGATAAACAGGGAAAAGATTCATCAGTTTGGCAGAGAACATCTAGAAGAGGTCTTCAAGATCTGTTTTCAGTCTCTTGTGTACAATACAGCGTTAGCTTAGAGCTTTGATACACGGATATGGTAGATATCCAATGGTTGTTTCAACAACAACTTGCTTCCATTTGTTGGTGTGCCAACAGAGGCTGGTGAGAATTTGGAATTTGCTGCCGGAAGCTGTGGTTGAAACAAAAGACGTCAATGTAGTTAAAAGGAGGTATCACACGTACATGAGGGAGATGGGAAGAGAGGAAACTAAGACTCGTGAGGAGTATAAATATCATGAGCATTAGTTAGTCCGTATCATTCTCTATAATTCTATGTCGAGGCTTTGATCTTATATCCAGTCCAGACTGCTGAGATGAAATTTTCTTTCCTCTGCTAACTGATGAATCGTTCAGTAAAATGTTGTTGACCAGTTCCAAACTGGCTCGTCATAGATAAATATAAATAATAATCCTTGCATGTGATATATATATTGCTGTAAAGTGTAAGGACTGTATATTTTGTGGGAGAAATATGCAAGTCAAGATGCAAGTGGAGAAGACAAACCTTTTTGGATTTGATCCCATGAAGAAATGGGACACGAGGTTCTTTAAGATTGACCTTAAAGCTTATGTTTGTCGTGCGATGCTGTAGCATTGCTCTCATTAGTAGCAATTGAGTTTTTGTGACTCTGATTAGTTAATTAAATCTTTCCAGTTTAATAGCTCAACAACAAATTCATTAAAGTCTGCGTAATTTTGAACGCAGCTGCTTTGTGAAGTAAACACTTGATCTTAGTCTGCCTGAAAGGTCCCTTCTCTTATTGGGAATGTGACTAATGGGTAATAATGGGTAACACTCTCCCTCAGTCCCTCTGCCTTGCCCCTTCCTTCCCCATCTTTAGGTTGTGCCTGAAGACCTTTCTGTTCAACCGTGCTTCCAATTCCACCCTCCCCCCACCTCCCGGCTTGGCCTCGTGCTCTGGCACTGTAAAGTGCTCTGGGGCGCTACCCTGCATGAGAAGCGCTATAATTGCAAGTTGTAGTGCAGTATTAATTGATTGTTATCCCATCAACAGGGCTTTGGGGACCCAGCGGGCGAATACTGGCTGGGAAATGAATTTGTTCACCTTCTCACCAGCCAGTCTCCACACGTACTGCGTATTCAGCTGAAGGACTGGGATGGAAACGAAGCGTTTTCACTGTTTGATCGATTCTCTTTGGGGAGTGAAGAGCAGAAGTACCGGTGAGTTTGATTTCGGTTCTTCTATAGTCTCCACCATTGTGTTTTCAAGATTTGTTACAAGAAAGCGCACTTGTCAGCCAGACACAAAGTTGGTAGCACTCTTGCCTCTGAGTCTGAAGGTTGTGGGTTCCAGACCCATGGTGGGACTTTGAGCTCAGAGACCAGGCTGACATGCCCATGTAGTGCTAGTGAGGATGCTGTCCTTCAGATGAGATGTTAAACTGAGCTCCCGTCTGTCTGGCTGTTCAGTTGGATGTTAATGATTGCACAGCACTATAATAAATAATAATAATAATAATCCTTGCATTTGATATAGCACTTTTCACGTCTTCTAGACCTCTCAAAACGCTTCACAGAATATACTGTAATGTGAGTTGACTATATTTTGTGGGTGAAACGCGGCAGCCAATTGCGCACAGCAGCATCCCACAAACAGTCTTGGATTGATGTGACCAATTTATTCATGTTTTTTTTTCTTGAGGGATTATTATTCGACGTGTGGAGTAAGGAAACTTGCCCAGGGTTTCACCCCCTGCCGGGAATCGAACCCAGGTCTCTCGCATGCGAGGCGACTTCTCTAACCGCTGAGCTACAGCACTCCACATGAAAAGAGAAGGAAGTTTGTCCCGTATCATGACCAACAATTCATTCAGTTAAAATTGGCCTCTCATTTCCTGGCTGTTTGTGAGACATTGCTATTCTGAGCTGTGCTGTTCTGAGCTCAACAATATTGAGACAAAAATGGTCTTACAGGCTGAAGATTAGATGGAATTTCAGGCTTTAGACCCTTTATGTGTCAGTCTGGTACATTAGTAGCAGAAGGTTGTGAGTTCAAGCCCCTCGTCTGGTCTTGGAATCACATAGTCTCAGCTGACACCACAGGGCAGCGCTGGGAGGTGTTGCATTGTCAGAGGTGCCGTCTTTCATATGAGACGTGAAACTAAAGTCCAAGCTGCCTGTTCAGGTGGACTTTAAAGATCTCGCGGTGCTATTCAAAAAGAGAAGGAAGGTTATCCCCATGTCCTGGCTAACAATCCCCAAATAAAATTGGTGACTCACTCCATGTCGGTTTGTGGAACATTGCTGTGGATAAATTGACTGCCATGTTTTGCTAACAAAATACACAGTCACTGCGCATTACAATATATCCTATGAAGCGCTTTGAGACACCTTGACGATGTGATAAGACGCTGTATCAAATGCAAGGATTATTATCATTATTATTATGCAAGCTGAGTTTGCAAAGAAGTTGAACTGGGGACTCCGGCAAGCATTGTGTTGGCATAGTCAAGCTAAAATGGCTCTGACGGACATTTGAGATTCTGGTGAACTAAGGTAAATGGTAAATGATGTGGCTGGTGCGCTATGTCTGAGTTTAGCTTCATGTAAAGAGTATGGACAATGCACGTCAACTATCTGTGCTTTCTGCTGTGTAACCTGGATGGTTTGTGGCGTATGGTTGCTTGAGTTTATTAAACACAACTTTTTATCTTCATCTTGATGGACTGGAGGACAGAGCAGCAAGCTGTGCTTATTTCCCTGTCTCCCTATCCCTCGGCTCCAGGGGAATATGCAAGAGAGTTTATCATCTTGGAGGCATTGTTTCTGTTCTTCTCCGCCCCCCTGACCATTCCTCTCCTCCTCCAGCCCACCTCCTCTCCTCTTCTCTCTGCTCCTAACTGGGTTATTACTGTGTGGGAAAGCATAGTGTATGATCCCTGGACTTAGCCATAGCACAGTCTTATTTGCTCTCAATGGAGCTCACACGACTTCTCTGCCAGTGGACCATTGACCTATTGAATCTCACTCCCATTATATTCTGTTTATCACAATCAATCCACTGAAAAACAAATTGTCACCCTCTACGAATGCCAGTAGCTTTGAAAGGCAGCGGCCCAAATGGCAACATGACAAAGCCAATGTCAATGTTTTTGCATCTGGTAATATTTATTTGAGATTTGTATGTTAACTGGAATTACAAAACAAATAGATTTTGAGGAGCAAAAAAAAACCTGTGACCCAGGGAGGGGGGCTTGTTTACATTCAGGGTGCTCTCTTATGCTAACAACTTTTGGTTGGATGAATACTCTTCTGTTTTGAGATGCTAAATGATTGATTACAGCCATTGTTTGGGACATCACCAAGAAGAACATTTGAAATCATAGTAGTTAACTTAATGCCATGCTCCTGTTGTAAGAGAATGTTGATTATTATTTGAAGGGAAACTGAGGCTTTGAACTCCTAGGAAATACCATGTTGAAGTCAGGAACATTGGATTGAGTTTTGGTGTCAATGTGGTGAGGAGGCAGTGTGGTGGAACGAACACATTGGAGGTGGAAGTACAAAAGAACAATGAAGCAGTGACTTAAGTTGGGTTCTGCCGAAAAGGCAAAGAAAGGGGGAAACTCACATAGTCTAGGCTGACACTTCAGTGAAGTGCCTTTCATCTCAAAGTGCTTCACAGGATTTACTATATGCAGTGATTGTGTAGGTGAATGCGGCAGACAATTTGCACACAGCAACATCCCACAAACAGCCATGAAGTGAATAAGTGATTTTATTTGGGGGATGGAGCTCTTGGCTAGGACACTGACCAGTAGAAACTCCCTTCTCTTTTCAAATAATGCCACAAGTTCTTTAGCATCTCGGTTTAGTTTCTCATCTGAGGGGCGAGACCTGCAATAATGCAGACACCCCCAGCACAGCTCAGGAGTGTCAACCTAGACTATGTGAGTTCAAAGCCCTGACGTGGGGTTTGAACCCACAACCTTCTGATTCAGAGGCAAGAATATTAACAATTGAGCCAGGCTGACACGCAAATTCCGTAGAGAAATGAATTGAATCTCTGTTTACTGTAAATGTTTTGGAATAGGTTTATGTTTGTATTCCTAACAACAGATTGTAACCAGTTGGATTAAGAAGCCATGTGTTGTTGCTAAAGTTCTTGACGGAAAACTGTTCCTGTTTTTTCACTAAGAGGCTGTTCCATGTGACAACAACAGATTTTTTCCCCCTGAAATTCCCTTTAAAGCTGAAAACCTGCATGTCATAGAATGGAAATGGAAATGGAGTTAACTGGAGGAGTGTTATTGGCTACTGTTGAATCATTCTAGTATCTAGAAGGCTTAGAAGGCAGATGATCTTGCCAGAGATGATGGCTGTTAATGTGCTGCAGGTTCACAGATGGGGATTTATTGACTCTTCAGAGTATTCAAAGAGGTGCTCAGAATCAGGAGGTAACTGCTTGCATTTTGGGAATAGTTGCAACACATTCCACCGGATTTTCAAATCAAGCTTTTCCAAGTCTCTATCGGAACAGAGAAAGTTGAGAGAATAGTAATCCTTACAGAAGCGCTCTGAGACGCTATCCTGCGTAGGGGGCGTTATATAAGTGCAAGTTGTTGTTGTTGTGTTTGATATCAGGAGGCCATCTCAAAGGGCTTCACAGGAATTACTGTCACTGTGTTTCATAGCCGAATTCAGCACTGAAGTTTTTTACACACAGCAATGTCCCACAATGAGCAGGAAGTCAATTGTTTTGTTTAGAGGTAGTTGGCGAGGACACTAGAAGAAACTCCATTCTCTTATATAGTGCCATGGGATCTTTAAGATCCACCTGAGCAGGCAGACAGGACCTAAGACAGTTTAAGACAGTTTAATATCTAATATCTAATATCTAATCTGAAGATGGCACCTCTAACAATGCAATGTTCACCCAACACTACACTACAATCCCAATTTTGGACTTGAACCCACAACCTTCTGACTCAGGTGAAAGTGCTGCCAACCGAGCCAGGTGGACAATGAGATAAAAGTGTTAAAATGAATTATTTTTGATAAAATGAATAGGGAGAAATCTTTTCCATAGGGTGACTTTGGGGCATCAATTTAAGATCATCACTAAAAACAAGGATGAAAGCTCAAAGAATCTATTTCACACACACTGATTATGATGTGAAATGCCTGAATAAAAACAGTGACTCAAATACAATCTATCCTAGCTCTTTTTAAAACAATATAAAAGGATGTGGAGAAAGTGTAGAGGAGTGGGATTAGAGAGCTAATGTCTTTAGAGAAGGGAGTTTCTCTCTCCTGGTGTCCTGGCCAATAAATCCAAATAAATAAAATTGATCACTCACTCCATGACTATTCATGGGGCATTGCCGTGTGCAACTGGCTGCCGCATTTCGCCCACAAAATCCGCTATCTATCCACTTTGCAGTATATCCTGTGAAGCATTTTGAGGCATCTCGACGATGTGATAAGGCGCTATATGGTTCTAATGTGTAGATTTGGAAATGGACTGAGACGAAAGTCATTTAGGGTGTCTTGTGGCTGAATCTCAATCTCTTCTTTTCTCTGTTAAAGACTGTCGATGGTAGCTCAGGATTCATTACCAGACCCTTAGTCCCTTCCACCTCTGGGAATGTGGGTTTGAATCCACTCCAGGCCACACTAATGGTCTGAGTCTCCAGGCTATTGGCTGTTGTGCCTGAAACCTGCTCTGACATTCTCAGTTCAGTCCGGTTCCTCGTGTTTGAAATTTTACAGCATAAAACTGCCCACACCGAGCTTTGGGTCAGATTGAGTGGGAAATGGGAAGAGTTTGGGGTTTGTGTGGAATTACATTCTACGTTTGTGCTGTATCTGAACAGAAATACCTAGTGCCTTTGTTGCTCTAAGCTGGAACTTTCCTTTACAACCACACACTGTACTAGTTTAAGTGTGCTCATAACGAGTGTGTTTTTTCTAGCTCCTGCTATTTTGAATAGATATTCTGGCTTGTAGTTTATTTTCTGCAGTCTACAGACACATTGCACTACCTTTGAACTTGGACCTACCCCCGAGAGAAGTATTTTTCATTGTGGTATGAGATCATAACAGGACGTCGACTGCCAACTTCATGCTGGGAGTATGGTCTTTGCTGGATTCCCTTTGGTGTGTAATTGACCGTACAAACATTTGTCCCTGAGAACCTGCCGTAATTCTGAAATCAAACTAGAGTGAGCGATTGAGTAGCATCCTTTGAGGCCTGGCTATGACATGTAAAGGCAATAATTCTCACCAGAAGCACCGCGCTCTGCAAATTGGCTGCACAATACAGCACACCACGCCTCTTGCTTTCACACGGAATATCTGCGCGCAGAACTGTGGAAATGTACAGAACAGAGAGAGCCATTGTTTGTATCGTCGTGTTAGAGATCTCAATGGGCAAGGAGGAAACTGAGCAAAAGAGTTGGACCACAGATAATTGACGAAGGTGGTTTCAATTCACTGCTGTTCGCAGATGTTGCTATGGACTAATCGTCCATAAAATACACAGTGACGCTGCTTTCCAGTAAACCCTATGAAGTACTTCCTGAGATGGTGTTTGCCATGTGAAAAGGCACTGTATCAAATGCAAGGATGATTGTTAATCTTTTGGTGAGGAGTAAGCAGATAAGCAGGTTTACGTTGTGTAACAATCCAATGAAGCTGTGAGGTGATTCCTAGGTAAATGGTTAACATGCTGCATATGTGAGAGCAACAAACGAGGTGCGAAGTGAACTGAGTTTAATATTGCACAATTCTGGCTGCATTTGTTTCTAATTTTCTTGCAAGTTCCCAATTTTATTCTTTGCAAGGATTATCAAATATTATTATTATTATTATTGTGCAAACTCTTCATTTCGGTCATCTTTCCTATCTCCTACCCGTACCTCGGGTGCCCAGCCAGCAGCGTCAAGCACTTTGAGACATCCTCCTGATGTGGACGTTCCTGTGTAAATATAAATTGTATTGTATTCCTCGGCAGATCCGCGGAATCATTGTGTCAATAATTTACAAACGATTACGGCTTTATCGTGTGCAGTTTCCCCTTCTCACCATTCCCCTTTTCTTAAGCGCTCCGTCATGCTCTGTCAAGTTCTGTATTGAAACAATCCCAAAGTTAAGATTTTCATCAATGCAGTTTTGGTCGATCCACCCACACATGATAATACAATAATAATCCTTGCATTTGATATTGTACCTATATCAAACATCTCAAAGCTTTTCAGAAACTCTCTCTGTTGAGCACTTTATTTGGCCTTGAGGCTTTTTNCTCCAGGCGAGTGAATAATAATAATAAAAATCATCATCCTTTCATTTGATGTAGCACCTTATCACATCATTGAGACATCTCAAAGCACTTCACAGGATGTACTGTAAAGTGAATTGACTGTATATTTTTGTGGGCAGCCAATTTGCCACAGCAATGTCCATGAGCAGCTCAGTAGTGAGTGACCAATTTTATTTGAGGGATTGTTGGCCAGAGACAAACTCCCTTTTTTTGTGGAAAGGTTGTGAAATCTGGAACTCTCCGCAAAAAGGCTGTGGCTGCTCCATCCATTCAATTTTTCAAGACTGAGGTAGATAGATTTCTGTTTGGTAAGGGTATTAAGGGATATAGGGCAAGGGTGGGCAATGGGAATTGAGCTCCAGATCAGCCATGATCTTAAAGAATGGTGGGACAGGCATAGAGGGCTGAATGGCCCACTCCTGTTCCTATGTTCCTATGCTTTCAAGTAGTGCCGTGGGATCTTTAACGTCCGCCTGAACAGGCAGACGGCGCCTCAGTTTAACGTCTCACCCAAAGGACGGCACCTCCAACACCCTCAGCGCAGCATTGAAATGTCAGCTTAGCTGATGTGATTCCAAGTCTCAACGTGGGGCATGAGCCCACAACCTTCTGATTCAGAGGTGAGAGTGCGACCACTACGTCCGGCTGACACTCCAATCAGAGAACCCCAGATCATCTATAGGCTGAAATTCCAGAACAGCAATTGTAGTGGAGAAACCCCAAATAGCATGAATTGGCTGCCGCATTCACCTACAAGATACAGTCACCACACTTCACAGAAAACTGTGAAGCACTTTGAGGCGTTCTCAATGATATCCGTTCTACAGCAAGTGCAAGGATTTTTTTTTTATTTTTTATATCATATCAAATAGCTGAAATGTTTTGCTCCCCATGCAAAAACATTGAGTTGAATTTTGGCTCTTGCTGGAGAGGTGATGTTACAGACTTGTGAGTCCTTTGTGAGGACAGAGTAGAGAGTGGGGTGCAGGGGAATTAGCCTCAGCAGGAGGTTCCCAGTCCTGAGAAAATATGTTTCAACTTGCGCCTGTAACTTAATGTTATGTTTGTAACATTGGATTGTGTTTCAAGGCAATAAATCCTGGGACATGGCACAAAGGAGGTTTGTTGAGATGATGGGAGCACTGGTTTGGAACACTACAAGAGCAGTAACATTGTGAATAGAAAGTCCAGTGGAATCTGTTATGGGATTTTCCAGATTATATTTTGATGAATGTTCTCATGACTTCAAACAGCACTGGACTATAGATCACGTAAAATAGTTTCCAGCCTTCAGTGATCTCTGGTCTGTGTCCACCCAAATAATATTAACAGTGACATATCAGTGACCGTCGATACAAATGTTAGAGACTGTCTTCATATCGTTCTTTGTTTTTATCTGTAATTGTCCTCTCATCCTATGGAAAAGGCCACCACATTGTACAGAGGGGTTCAGCAACACTTCACACGTGCACACCACCTTTCACATAGTTAATTAAAATAATAATAAACCTTGCAATTGACACAGCACCTTATCACGTCTTTGCGACATCTCAAAGCGCTTCACAGAACATACTCTAAAGTGAATTGACTGGATATTCTGTGGGCGAAATGCTGCAGCCAATTGTGCACAGCAGTGTCCCACAAACAGTTGTGGACTGAGTGACCATTTGAAAAATGTTTCAAAGGTGTTGTCCTCTGAGGACAGGGCAGTGTGACATGTTGGAGGTGCAATCTTTTAGATGATTCAGTAAAGTGAGGTTCCGTCTGCTTGTTCAGGTGGACGATAAAGATCCCATGGGCACTATTCGAAAAGAGAAGGTAGTTTATCTCTCCCAGTGTCCTGTACAACAAATAAAATTGGTCACTCACTCCATGGCTCTTTATGGGACATTGCTGTGGGCAAATTAACTGGTAAATTGCCAACAATATACAAAGTAATGGTAAATCCTGTTCATCACTTTGAAACAGCCTCCTGATGTGAAGGTCAAATTTGACTATTTATTAACATTGAATTATTATTTATTAGTATTAAATCATTATTTATTAGTATTACATTATTATGTATTAGTCTTAAATCATTGTTTATTAGTATTAAATTATTATTTAATAATAATAATTATTCGAATTCCAGATACTCATCCTCACCTACAAGGCCATTCACGGCCTCGCTCCCTCCTACCTCTCTGACCTACTATCCCCCTACCTACCTGCCCGTACCCTCCGTTCCTCTGGCTCCGGTCTGCTCCACATCCCCCGCCCCAACCGCCCCACTATCGGTGGCCTTCAGCCTCTCAGCCCCGAGGCTCTGGAACTCTATCCCCCAGTGCCTTCACCGCTTCCTCCCTTTCCTCCTTCAAGGCCGGTCTCAAGACCTTTCTCTTTGACGGTGCCTTCAGCTCCCCTCTCGACTCTCTACTCCCTCCTCGCTCCCTCCCTTCCCTCCCCTCACCCTGACCATTTCCCCCCTGCTCGGGTCCTGACCCAACTGTCCAGCGCTTTGGGACGTCCTCCTGACGTGAAAGGCGCTCTATAAATGGAATCTTGTTGTTGTATTTATTAGTATTAGTATTAAATTATTATTTATTAGTATTAAAGCATTTTTCAGGGGTGAGTGAGGGGTGGGAGGGAGACAACTGAAGTTGCAGGGGTTTTTTAGATAAATTTGAAAGTGGCTTGAATTCATTTAGTTCCCCTTCTTGTCAGATAATGTCGGAACACTTAAAGGTTCCCAGATAAGGAACCTGAATGATATCATATAAAATTACCGCCATGTGAATTATTGTGTGAATATTTGAGTTGTACTTAAAAAAATGAATCATTGTTTTTCACACCATTAAGATGTCTCCTTGGGATGTCCTCCCAACATGAAAGGCCCTATATAAATGTAAGTTTGTATGTATTGTCTCAAAGAGCATCTCCGGATTTTCTGTAAAGTGTAGTGACTGTGTATTTTGGCTTGGCGAGTCTCTTTGTGTCCTTTGCTTGTGGTCACTTGGTGTCAAACTCCGCCATTGTTCAGCGCTCAAAGACGTCACAACTACAACAACAAACTGCACTTATATAGCGCCTTTCACGTCGAGAGGACATCACAAGGCTGTGGTTCTGCCTCCGAGCTGCCCCGAGTGAAGAGTGCAAATCTTCGTGATGTTAATGGAAACTTCAGGGGGGGACGTTATTTTTACAGACATGAACTGAAGACTTGAATTTTTCACCATCTCCAATCTCACTGTGTCTCTTTCTCTCTCAGGCTCCACGTAAAGGGTTACAGTGGCACAGCCGGCAGAACCAGCAGCCTCACTCCTTCTGGGACACGATTCAGCACGAGGGACGAGGACAATGATGAATGTGGCTGCAAATGCTCGCAGATGGCGTCTGGAGGTAAGATCGAAGAGTTTCATTTTCCGGCTATCTGTCCTCCGAACCCAGAAAATCGCGTTCAAAGACATCGCATTTCAACAACGTGACCTCCATTCGTGAGACCAAAGAGCAGGAGCATCAGTGACTCCGATCACAGACACAACAGCTCACTCCAGTGGAGCAGAGGTGAGAGCTGATGTGGCCCTCCCTGTTCCCTCCTGTCTCCTCTCCCCTCCCCTCAGCTCATAGACTGACGTTTGTCCTCATCAAGGAGAATTTATCAGTCCTAGAAAACAGTATGTTTCTCTCGTCTATTGCAAACACAGACACACACACGCGCACAGACCTACATACACAGACATACACTCCAGGATCACTGCTATCCAGACAGAATATCTGGCAGACATCAAGTTCTGGATGAGACCTAACTTTCTTCAGTTGAACACGACCGAGGCTTTCCTGATTGCCTCCCGTCAGCGTCTCCACACCTCAGGCACTGATAGCATCACCGTCCATGGATGCACACTCCACCTTACCAAGCCATTCTGGAATCTTGACATCTTGTTTCACCCGCAACTATCCTTTCTATCCCACATCAGTGCAATGACCCGCTCTGCTTCCCTCACCTCCGCAACATCACCCGTCTCTGCCACTGTCTCACACCACAGGCCACCATACATTAATTCATAATATCCAGGCTTCACTATGCAAAGTCCCTGCTTGTCGGCCTCTCCAACTCCTCCATCCATATGCTGCAGATCATCCAGAATTCTGCAGCTCGTGTCCTTTCCCGCATCAGGCTTCATGACTCTATCACCCCCATCCTCGCCCGACTCCACTGGCTTCCCATCATACAGAGGATACGTTTCAAATCCTGGTCCTCACCTTCAAAGCCCTCCATGGCCTTGCTCCCCCCTTCCTCTGTGACCTCCTAACCCCCTACCATCCTGCCAGCTCCCTATGCTCAGAGGGCTTCAGCCTGCTTCATGTCCCTCGCCTCACCTGCTCCACCATCGGCGGGCCAGCTTTCAGCCACTCTGCCCCCACCCACTGGAACTCCATCCCACAGTCCCTTTGCCTCACTCCCTCTCGTGCCTCCTTCAAGGCACGTCTCAAGACCCTCCTCTTCGACTTCACCTTGGGTCACGCTCCCACACTCCCTGCCCTCCACCACTCCCGATCCAACCCCCAGGTCGGGTCCAAATCCTTGACTGTCCAGCGCCTTGGGACATCCTCCCGATGTGAAAGGTGCCGTGTAAATGTAATCTATTGTTGTTGTGATGAAGGAACCTTGTCCAGGTTTCACTCTCTTTGTCTATTCTTTCTGCAGGATGGTGGTTTCAGGCCTGTGGACCTTCTAACCTGAATGGCATGTATTACTCAGGCCGGATGAACGCAATTCGATTTAATGGGATCAAGTGGCACTACTGGAAGGGCACACACTACTCCCTCAAGTCCACCACCATGATGATTCGACCTGTGGGATTTTGAGCAGAAGCACAGGAAATCAGTTGAGGAACCCCCTCCCCCAGGCAAGGAGCACTCCACGGTCACCACACGACCCCCTGTTCCGTTTGTTCCACATGTTGACTGTCACTAGGGTCTTGCAAAGTTGAAGAGGCTCTGTTGACCACAGCAATCTTTCTGTACCTCCTTTGGCCCTCAAAAGTGTTGATGAGGAGATTCTCTCGGAGGGAATGTGGGAAGGAGAATATTAAATGCATTTCAACTAGTGTCTGAAAGTAACAAGCCCCTCTCTCCAACCCTCCCCTCCCTCTAGGTTTTTTGCAGTTTAACCTGACTGATGCCAATATCTTGCTTGTTGACGTAATCCAGATTTGGTAAATAGATTAGAAACTGTTAAATCCTTCTTCTCGCTCCCCCCACCCCCTCCGGAGTCATGATCATCCTGTTTACATTTCCATGTCTCTCCCCTCAGCAGAGACCAGCTCCACTGATTGCATTAAAATGAAATCAGTACACTCCACGTCCCCATACCAGAACTTGGGAAAAACTCTGTTCCAAGGAAACACTGATGTCTTTTCCTCAGTGTATTGGCCATCACTGCTGGGTTTTGTTACAACCGATGCTGTCATTCGTTCAAACTTCATCTTGCTTTGATGTGAGTTTCACATTTTGTAACTTAATGTTTTATAGTGAGCACGATAAATAATTAACGGCCTTCTCATACCCATGTCATTTCTCTTTCTCTCACTCCCTCCTGTCACATCTTCCAATACATCAGTTGGACAAATTATTGGATGATTTTATCTGGAGCCCATATTAGAAGTTGAAAGTTTCCCCAGTTGCTGATCTTCAGCTGGATCGAAGGAGGAAAATGTGATGTGTGATATCACCAGTGAGAATATCACATGTTGCATTTTTGCCCCTTCCCCATCCAAAGAATTTTGGCAGTAATACAATAATTTGGGATCTGGGAATCTGCACGATGATGTTCAAGGATCCCTCTGATTGACCAGGGAGCTGACTCAGGATAAGGGTGGACAATGCACATGATGCTGATATTCAATGTGGCTACAAAACATGTTGTTGATCTGAATTAGGAAGAGCCTTAAAGCAGTCAGCTTCTTTTAGCTGCTATTAATTTGTCAGAACAAGCTTGTATTGTTAGTCTAATAAATACAAGAACTGCTCTTGCTTTAAAGTCCCATCATGTGCATAAACCTAATTAGCTGTTTAACAGTATATGAACTTTGAAATGATTGCAATAGCTGAGCCAGACTGGTTGGGAAAAACAGTTAATTTTTTTACAAGGAGTTTCAGTTTGGGGGAGAATTCAGAGGTTCTTCTCTGCAGTAATGTGTTTAATTTATCTATTTTCCCTGTGTTTTTGCACATCTGCCACTGCGTTGGTGGATGACTGACCTTCTCTCGGGCAACTAGAGATACAGGGAAACAGCAAAAGTGACCTGTGACTCTTGCTTGCTTTACATTATACCTGTACGGAAACTGTGGGCCATTATTGGTCAGGTCAGTGGGAGGTGGAAGCGAGAGGATGGGGACATGAACTCTAATTGCTCTCTGGCTTTGCTACTTCCTGACAACAGATTTCACGGCAACTGTAGAGGCCGCTGCTAAATGCTACAAAGATACTGGCTAAATAAAGGTGACTGGCTTTTGGTATTTGCTCCTTCCAACATACAGTGACTGGTGTGTGCAGTCTGATGTGGCTAGTTTCAGGAGATGTTTTATTTCTTCTGTTTATCTAATCTCTTACTTAGCAAAGCCAGAGATTGAGTAGTATATTGCATTAAAACGCCCTCTGTCTTTTCTCTTCTAGAGACCCAGATTGAAATTCAGGTCTAAGGCGCCCAATGGGATAAGTATCTGCTCAGGCAGCTCAATGGCTGCTCAGTGCAATGGACTATTTTGTAGGCAAACATAGCAGACAATTTGACGAGACATTCCGGGTGAACACGTACTCACAAGGGTATGAAATGATTCCAAATTGCCACTAACTTTGCAATCTTTAAAGGAGATGAAAGTTTCTGGTGGGAAGCAGGAAGTGTCAGTCTGGTTGGGTGGATGGTGCTTTGGGGAAATTGGAGTCTGGACACTTTATTGGAGAGGAAGTAAAGGAAGTTTTTTTTAAAAAAAGTGTAAATATGTTGTGTTTGATTTGGGAGTGCTTCGTTCTGACGAGCAGTAAAACGTGGAGGTCACCACCCAAAGCATTGGTCTTTTTTTTTCTTCATTGCCAGCAGGATGGGGGTTACGAGGAGAACAGGAGGGGGTATATGCTGGAGGGATGAGATAAGATCAGACTAAAGGACCTACTTCATTCAAAGCAAACTTATAATTTTAATGAAACGTTTGGAATCTTCATTTTGCTCAAGTGAATTTGAGAAATACGAGAGAAGCAAGGGATGGGGGAGACGGGGTGGGGGGGAGACGGCTTTCCTGGGTTTACGTCCTTACCTCCTGAGTACAAAAGGGGGCGGCCACAATCCCATCCCCATTAGATCAGATGATTTAGGTGTCACATTGGTGACATCCATTGTGTACAAACACGGTGAGGTAGTGAGAGTGCAGGAACACACAGCTGGGCCAGTGATTGGTAGTCTACCCTGCTTAAGCGTAATTGTGAATCTGATTTTAATTGCCATTCTATTTGCTGTTAGCATTGAGAAATTACCAGTGATCCTAATCGATTATTAATCATGTAATCCTATTAATCTTCCATTTTATCCCCCCTCTCCCCCACCCCCCCACACACACACCTTAATCGCCAGCATAATGCACAAATCACATGTTGAACTTTAGTCTGTTAAACAAACGCTGGTGGTAAATCCTGTGGTTTAATTCCTAAATTAAACAATTGGGAGTATGTTCCCAGCAGGACATACCATACCAGGTTGAGCAACAACATTCATTTATTTAAAGTTCAACACGATTGTTTTTTTACAGGAACAACTAAGGCCAATCAATTAAAAACCTCTCTCTGAATTGTACTGTAACTCGACCATTCTTATGTTTGCGAATCCTCTAGGTCATGTCAAAGTAAATGGAACATGAGTGAAAGATTCAACTAATTTTCCTGCTTAAATATACACTCATCCAGCATTCAAAGCTTTAAACCCAGTCTATTGGTCGTTATTTCTGGGAAACAAATCTGTTATGATATTACCTTAACAGTTCCCCCACTTCTAAATACTGTAAAAGATTACCGTTAATCTTTTTTAAGAATATATATTAATTGTACATCTGTTTTATGTATTCAACACTTTTAATATCCTTTACCTTGGGCATAAAATTTACAGTAGTCATTTGGGATAATTTAATTATTTGATTTTCTTTTAATGTTCATCCAATATATCATATAGAACTGTGTAACAATGTCAGGATGTTTCATTTTTGTATTAAAGGGATAATATATAAAATAAATGTTTCCGAACTTTCCCCCTCACCCCACCACAAATCTGACTTTTGTTTTGTGTCCGTGTGGAGTAACAGGTGTTAAACAATGGCTGCCTTGGCATCACATAGTGCAAAGATGGAGTGGGAGATAGGAGTGTGTAGGTGTGAGGTGAGCGAAGACACGGTCAAAGACCAATGGGGAAGAAATGGAGGAAGCATGGTAAAGGCATTTACGGAGTGTGTCAGACCAAATAGACAGAAAGCCCTCCCTCTGGTGGTAGGTTTGGAGATAATTAATAATAATCCTTGCATTTCATTATAGCGCCTTATATCGAGACGTCTCAAAGCGCTTCACAGAATACACTGTAAGATGAATTGATTGTATATTTTGTGGGCGAAACATTCAACCTTGCTTTTTTCAAAGCTACCTTATCTATAACAACAACAACAAATTACACTTGTACAGTGCCTTTCACGTTGGGAGGACGTTCCAAGGTGCTGGACATTCAAGAATTTTGATCCCAGCTGGGGGTTCAGATCAGGAGGGGTGAAGGGCGGGGAGGGTGGGGGGTGGAGTGAGAGCGAACACTCTGCAGCTCCAGAGTTTTGCTTTTTCTGGCTTCGTCTTATTCATGACAATCACAGAATATTTGGGATAAATAAATGATCCTGCATTTGACTTAGCACTTTCTCACAGTGTTGAAGCATCTCAAAATACTTCACAGGGTAAAGAGTGTCGAGTGTAGTGGTTGTGTATTTGTAGGCACAGGGAGAAACTCTCTTTCCAAATAGGGTCTTTAACATCCACCTCAACGGGCAGAAAGGACCTTGGTGTCTTGTTTGACTCTCAGCTATCCTTTCTACCCCACATTCGTGACAATACCCGCTCTGCCTTCCCCCCACCTCTGCAACATCGCCTGGCTCCACCATTGTCTCACACCGCAGGCCACTGGAACCGTCATACACTCATTCATAATATCCAGGCTTGACCACGTAAACTCCCTGCTTGTTGGCCTCCCCAACTCCTCGCTTCATAGGTTGCAAATCATCCAGAACTCCCCTGCACCAGGCTCCATGACCCTATCACCCCCATCCTCGCCCGACTCCACTGGCTTCCCATCACACAGAAGATACAGTTCAAGATCCTGGTCCTCACCTTCAAAGCTCTCCACCCTCCATGGTCTTGCTCCCCCATACTTCTGTGAGCCACCCCCACCAACCTGCCCGCTCCTTCCGCTCGGTGGGCTCTGGCCTGCTTCAAATCTCCTGCCTCGCCTGCCCCACCATTGGCTGGCCTTCAGGCACTCTGACTCTACCCTCTGGAACTCCATCCCGAGGTGCCTCCGCCTTGCCCCTCCCTTGCCTCCTTCAAGACCCATTTCAAAACCCTCCTCTTTGATCGTGCCTTCAATCGCACTCCTTTCCGACCGCCCTCCACCCTCCCTGATCCCAACCCCCAGCTCGGGTCCAAAATACTGATTGTCCAGCGCTTTGGGACATCCTCTCGACGTGAAAGGCGCTTTACACATGTAATTTTGTTCTTGTGATTTAATGTCTCATCCAAAGGACGGTATCTCTAAATTGGAGTGACGTCTTAGCCTGTCAGGTTTCGGAGGGCAGAGTGATATTAACTGAGCCAGAATGATATTACCAGAAGTAAATTCCACTCATCAGCCAAATCGAAAGTCAATTTGAAGATTTGTACAATATAGTTGTCAATATTTCCTAGATTCATTCTCAATAAATGCCCAGTGATTACATTACTCCTCCACAACAGAGATTGGCATGCAAGCACAATGTAGAATAACATTGGCTTTTAGCCTCTGCATTGAGAGACAATGAGACCCACAACCAACAAACAAATAAGACCCAAACTGAATGAAGGCATCTCATGATTTAGATTATAAAATAAACACAGACCCTGGAAACATTTCAAAGACTATAATTTACTTGTGGATTAAAGGGCAGTTCAGAAGGCAACTGTGGGGAGCTTGAATTTTCCTCTTAAGATCACCAGAGAGGTTTTTAATGAGGATGGCCATTCAGCCCATTTGATCTCATTCTCACGTTGTAACCTTAGACGCTAGCCTCAAGGCTTCAGCCTTTGCTGTCCTCAAAACTGCAAAATTTGGGAAAAGTCTTAACTTCAGTCTGAATTTAGAAACGTATTTCCACAAATCTTAAGAACCTTAGCACGCAAGTTTCAAAATAATGATGAGAATCCTTATATACCTTTGGCATAGGGTTTTTCACATTGGAGATACATCTCAAAGAGCTTCACAGGATTTACTGTGTAGTGTAGTGCAAATGTAATTTTGTTGTTGGTCTCGTGTAGTGACTATTTTTTTAGGCAAACGTGACAGACAAGTTGCGTGCAGCAGAGTTCTGTAAACAGCCATGAAATCATATTTACAAAATTCGACATTATCTTACACTTTAAAACAATAGTCCTGAGAGCAGACCAATCAGTATATTGCCTTGGAATCAATCCTCGTCGGCCACTGCATCTGACATTATGATTTAATCTCTTAGCTCGGGTGCAAATCCTTGACATTCCAGCGCCTTGCGGCGTCCTCCCGCTGTGAAAGGCAACATATAATACAGTTTGTTGTTGTTGTTAATGATAAGCAGTAAGTGTTACGTTCATCTAAAGAAGTGGGGTTATACAGTCTGTGAGAGCTTGTCATACACCTGACTTAATTAGAATACATATCACATTTACAATAAGTTTACACAAGCTAATTTCACTGCAAAAATTAACTTGCTTATAGAGAAGGTGGTCAGAATCTGCCTGGTGCAAATTGCCCTGTACCACTGTGACAACTAAATCTATTATTCCCTGCGTGTTTGACCAGAGTCGTCAACGAGTGACTAATCACCCTTGTTCAGCACTTGGTCGCCCGATGCCTCAGTTTTTTTTCCAAGTGAAAAGCGTTGTTTGGTGAAAAAGCAGCATTGTCAGTCCTGACAAGTGTTTCATTAGCAATAATTTGCTGGTGCCATCTGTTTCTAATTTGTTATTGAGTGGGGAATAAATTAAGAACAGAGTATTTAATCATTGAGCCTTTGTCATTACAGCAGAGGCTTGGGTTGTAGTGTTGAATTTGACCTTTTTATAAGAGAACATCAGAAATGTGGAGTCCTGCAGTGTGTTGGTTAGAGCACTTGCCTTGCAAGCCAGAGAACCTGGATTTGATTCCTGGGTGGGACGAAACCTTAGGCAAGTTTCCTTACTCCACACGCCTTTGTTTACCCAGCAGTAAGTAGGAACCTGGTTTAGTTGATTGGTGGATCTCTTTCTGGGGGTAATAATAATAATCCTTGCATTTGATACAGCGCTTTTCACATCGGGAGGACGTCCCAAAGTGCTTCACAGAACACACTGTAAAGTGAATTGACTGTATATTTGTGGGCGAACGCGGCAGCCAATTGCGCACAGCAATGTCCCACAAACAGTTGTAGATTGAAAATGACCAATTTATTATTGTTTTTGGTTTTGGAGGGTTATTATTAGGCTCTGTGTGGAGTAAGGAAACTTGCCCAAGGTTTCGCCCTGACCTGCCTGGAATTGAACTCAGGTCTCTCACTTGCAAAGCGAGTGCTCTAACCACTGAGCTACAGGACTCCATAATCCCTTCAAACTAAATAAATAAATTGGTCACTCAATCCATGACTGTTTGTGGGGACGCTACTGTCTGCAATTGGCTGCGTTTTGCCCACAAAACACAGTCAATTCACTTGACAGTATATTCTGTGAGACTCTCTGTGATGTCTCAGTGATGTGATTGAGCACGATATCAAATGCAAGGATTATAATTATTATTCTTATGTGACATTTGTTAAAAGTGTTAGTGCATTTGGATTGCACCTCAAGTTTAACTGAATGACCGAATAAAACTGGTCACTCACTTCAAGGTTGTTTGTGGGATGTTGGTTGCTGTGTATCCCTGCCATCACACAGTCACTACACTTCACAGTAAAATCCTGCAAAGTACTTTGAGCCACTCGATGGTGTAATAAGGCACTGTATTTGAATGCAAAGATTATTACCCGAGTCAGTCAGAGATGACAATCCAATGACATCGTGGAGTCCTGTAGCTCAGTGGTTAGAGCACTCGCTTTGCAAGTGAGAGACCTGAGTTCAATTCCAGGCAGAGGGCGAAACCTTGGGCAAGTTTCCTTACTAATAATACACAGAGCCTAATAATAATCCCTCCAAAACCAAAAACAATAATAAATTGGTCATTTTCAATCTACGACTGTTTGTGGGACATTGCTGTGCGCAATTGGCTGCCGCGTTCGCCCACAAATGTACAGTCAATTCACTTTACAGTGTGTTCTGTGAAGCGCTTTGGGACGTCCTCCCAACGTGAAAAGCGCTATATCAAATGCAAAGATTATTATTATTATTATCAGTTATGTCAGAAATCACGCAAAGCCCCGATGGCAAACATGACAACGTCTGATGTGCAATGGATGTTTCCTGCTGACAGCACATTCTTTATCGTCATAAATGGGCAGCTGTGTTGTAGCAAACAAAATCTGAAAACAGTCATCAATTTGTCAAGTGCTTTGCCACATTTTTGTAACAGTTCAAATATTCACTGTGTGCGCACTCGTCTGTTGCAAATGTTTTCTGTGCATATGAATTGAATAGCTTGTTGACTTTGTGATTAACATTTTCATTTAGTTTCCTCAGTGAGTATCAGTCACTCTTGCGATTGTGTTCCTGCCGCCTCCCATCTGAGCTGCCACTTGTAAACCAACAGTTTGTCCACGTGCAGCTCTCGCCTGTGGAGCAGTTCCACCGATTCATTACGTTGAACTTCGAAGCATTTTTCAAAGCAAGGCCTGAGCATCCGCAGCCCAGATATCAGTTAGATTCTCCAGCTGCTGAGTTGATGTGCCACTCCATCTCCTCGTCTCACACTGGATGTTGTAATAATGATGACTTTTCTGTGCGTAAAGCATTTGCTTAAAAAATCAGTTGCTGCACTTGACAGTAAACTCTGTGAAACACTTTGAGACACTTCAAAGTGACAAAGCTGTTTTATGAGACACTGTTGTGTGCCATTGACTGCACGTTTCACCCCCACAATATACAGTCAAT